AAAATGGCTTAGTTAAGAACACTGGCAGCTCTTATGGAGGATCTAGGTTCGATGCCCAGCACCCACATAGTGGCTCACAACTGTCTGTAACTTCAGTTCCAGTGATCCAATGCTCTCTTCCAGCCTCCGTGGGAACCAAGCATACAAACATAAATACAAACATATGGTTCACAGATATACAAACAGACAAAAAGTCATACATATAAAATAAAATACTATGTTTTTTAAAAGAAGCAGATCTTGGGACTGATAACTATTTGTATGACCCTATTCAATGTCATTTTTATTCTGATCTGTAACGCATTCTGAATATAACTGCAGTGAGAGTTTAAGTCAAAATATTTTTTTCCAGGCATGATGGTGTACACCTTTAATGCCAGCACTCAGGAGGCAGAGGCAGGTGGATCTATGTGAGTTTGAGGCCAGCCTGGTCTATGTAGGGAGTTCCACGACAGTCGGGACTGCATAGAAAGACCCTGTCTCAAAATAAAACAAAAAAATAAAATGATTTTTATAATTACTGAGCTATCAAATTCTGTTCCCTGAGGAATCCCCTTTCTACTGACTGACAGAGAGGACTTCCTCTGCTTCTCTCTTATGTGCCAGAGCTCACAAACACTTTGGAAGATGTTGAAAGGAAGCTGAGCACATTTTTCTCATTAAGTCCACTGGTATGAGAGACTTGATATTAAATAACCTTGAATAACATAAACCCAACTATTGGTCATGTAGAGACAGTGGAAGGACCATGGCCCTCACCCTTTAATGAGGGACCCAGGGCCCAGAAGCATCTCTAGGCTATCTCACCTGCTTCTTGAGAGAAGACATGTGCAAGCCCTGTAGAAAAGGTTTCCAGGGAAACCATGTAACTTCTATTCTTTCCTCCCCCCTGAATATTATTAAGCACTAAACGTGCCTGTGTGTGCCTGGGGTTCTCATTTGACATCAGAAACTGCTGGGAAAAAGTGTTTGCCTGAAACACACCCACATACCCAGAGATCATTTTTCTCCTTCCCCCAGTAAATGTCAGCTGCATACTCAGCAGGGAAGAACTAGATGACCTGGGTTCATTTGTGGAAGAAAGATAGGGGGATTGACTCCTGTTGGCTGAATTGCTCTTCTTCCTTGCTCTTAAGATGGCTAGAATGAATGCTAGTCATGCTTAGATTGAGCAGTTGTGTCTTTCCAGTTTGGTGCTATATAGTAGAGAATGTGACTATCAGAGAATATCTTTATGTTCAACTTTTGTTGTCTGAGACATGGCTTCTCTGTGTGAGACATGGTTTCTCTGTGTAAAACTGTCCTAAAACTCACTTTGTAGACCAGCTGGCCTCAAACTCACAGAGATCCACTTGCATCTGCCTCCTGAGTGCTGAGATTAAAGGTGTGCACCACCACTGCGTGACTGTGTTCAATTTTTAACATGCAGAGAAACACTGATATCCCAATAGCATAGGGATGTAAGTATATACGAATAATATCAAAGAAAACTTGGCCAAAATATTTCTGTATGTATTCATTGATAGTAAAAGATTTTTGAGATAAATGGTCTGTCCATGTCTGTGTTTCCAGTGTAGGGGGTAGGTAGATCTTGGCAGCTATGTTTCTATCCAGTGAGCCCACCTCCAGATCATAATGGAATGACCTTGAGGTAGATTCCTGACCAAGTAGAGTCAAGGTTATTTGAATTGGAATAAAATGGTGATGGAGGTAAAATTGAGAGTAAATAAGCCAGAGAGGAGCTGAGAGGCAGCCATGCTAAACTACCTACTCAGCCCCAAAGAGGAAAGCTACTGTGCAGGGAAAAAATGGAAGGGACATGCAGAGAAAGACGAGGTGGTGTGGGGGAGGGGCAATGAGCTGGGGACAAAGTTTGGAAAGGGTTTTGAGGGATTCTGGTTTCTATTTCTCCACCTAGGAGCTGAGTATATTTTTGGATTGAGGGTTTTGTATGTTAGATTTATACCTAGTAGAAAGATTTTCTGGTATTTCCAGCCCTTTGTAAGGCCCCTCATTAAAACCCCCAGCTTTTCCAGAATCAGCTTTTACTCTATTTATTTTCAACTAGCCCTGGATTGTGAATTAATGCTGCCATTTCTGGTTTAAACTGGTGCTGTGGTCAATATCCATTTTATGGTTATAAAGACATCCTTCTGCACTGGTCAGGCTCTTCACACTGGGCATGGGTAGGTGACCTGGTAGGTAACCTACACAGGAATGCTCTCTATACATGTGATGGCTTCTGATGGGAATGTTCACAGGCTTTTCATAGAACTGACACAGAGCAGGCAGGGATGCCATGGAGGAGACCCAAAGCCTGTCCAGGGAGGGTCTTCTGCCAGGGTCCAGCCTTGGCTCTGGTTCAGGTCCTAAGACAGGGGAGAGATGACTCGCTGCACAGCTCCTAACAGTCTCTCACACTTAGGTGGTCTTTTGGGTCACTAGAGAGGGAACCTTTTGCAGAATCTAGCTCCGTCTATTCTTATCCCAGGGAGGCAGACAAGTCTTCTCCTTATTCTCTGTGTTCTTTCACCAACCACATTCTGCTTTGAGTATTTTCTTAATGAAAAGAGTCTAGAGTTCCAGGGTCTTCTACTCTGGGCCATTGCTGAAATATGTAGAATGTTTGTAGGCTATGGCCTTAAATTTTGGGAATAGTATGTCTTATGACACATATGAGGCTATAGATTTCACATAAGGAAACTGCATTTATTTTTTAAAGCAACTGAGGGAAAATTTGAGTCCATAGTGAAAGAGATTTTTTTCTTTTAGTAATCCTGATGTAGGGTGTTTAACTTCAATTCAGTGTACCATAAGCTGTGTCTATGCTGATATCTAGCAAACCCTGGTCACACACTAAGGCCACCTAAATTGTGCTAGTGTGGGTAGGAACATGATTGCAAAAGCAATCTAAGTTCTGGTCTTGTACCCCATGCCTCCTCCCAATTATATTCAAGTAGGTCACTGTTGGCCTTAAAAAAGTGGTCATGCTTTCCTTCCTTCCTTCCTTCCTTTTCTTTTTTTTTTGATCTTAGGCAGGACCATGTTTATTCACAATGAGGGGGCATCTTCGTCATCCACATGTGCAGATGGCCAACATGTCTGAAATTGCTCATGCTTTCCAATTACCTCTCAAGTAAATCCACCTTCCTCTGCTCAGCCAAGAGGCCTAGATTTTCCCCTTTGCCTCACTCTTTTGCCCTTCAGTCGACACTCCTGACATGGCTCTCCACTGGTATTTGTTGACTCAGTTTGCACTTCAGCCTAATTACCTGTGTCTTGTCACCTCTGTCATCGCTCCAGGGTGTTGAGATCCTATTAGTACCTTAAGAGCTAATTCAAATGTCACTTTCCTTATAAAACCTTTCCTGGTCCCTTAGTCAGAGTGAACTCTTGCCGCAGTTGTATTTTCTTGACTTTTTATTTAAAGCTCAGTGCATCACAATCTATCTTGTCTTCCTGGTCTGGAGACCTGTCTGTGTATCCCTGTCCCATTACACCAGGGCAGACATCAGAACACACTGGTTTGTCACAGGTTCCCTCCTTTGGTCAGGGGTGCTGCATCTGGCCCTGCACCAGACGGTGCCTGCCTTTTGTTTATTTCCCAGTATCTTCTCGCAGGCAATGGATTAAGGTCCTCTGAGGAGAGTGGTTTTGGTCTTAGGAACCACTTCCACACAGGCTTTGGTGACACTGAACCTGTTTCAGCTATTGGTCCCAATATTCCTGTGACTTTGCACTCCATCCCTTCAATACTACCTCTAAAATTAGCCCATTGCCTGTTCTAGCTGCCTCTGAGGGATCTGTGGTGGTGTTGACCAAAATCAAAAGAAAGACAAAAGCAAAAACATATTGAACAATTCTTCAAGTGTGTAAGGTGTCTGCACGTCGCTCAGGCTGTCATTGCCTCTTTCTAATTGAAGGTTAAGGGCTGACACTTGTCAAGCGTAGTGCTCCAAGCTGGGGACCGGGAGCCCTTACATGTTTCTTGCTAGCTTACATGTGGTTTCATGCTTGCCAGTGAACTTGTGTCTGGCAAAGAGTGCATGATCACTTTATAAAACACAACCCTCTGTTTGCTTTCATCACTATTACCATCACTTGTGAGCTTGCTGGGTGCAGGATCCAGCTTTAAAGTCAAAGAAAAAGCAAACTCATGAAAGATGTGTGAGATTTTATAAGCAAGGCGGATTGTCAGCATAGGAACCCAGCACATCTTCTACACGTGGCTCCCTCCTAGGTTAGTGGCTGCAGCTGCTGTGTGATTCTGATATTTCCAGATCTGATTGACATTACCAGGCAATGACTCTGCTCTCGGTTCTATCCTATCCCTTGATTTAGTTTGTCTTTTTTTTTTTTTTTTTGAGACAGGTTTCTCTGAAGCTCTAACTGTCCTGGAACTCACTTTGTAGACCAGGCTGGCCTTGAACTCAGAGATCTGTCTGCTTCTGCCTCCTGAGTACTGGGATTAAAGGTGTGAGCCACCATTATCTGGATTATTTTGTTTTGTTTTAATCTTAAAACAATTCTTAAATATATTAGCTATTTATTAACACATGGTAAATTGTCTCCAAACTTAATGGTTTGAAAGCACAATATTATCTCACCATTTTCTTATATTATACTTTTTACCTACTTGTGGCGCTGCAGAGAGAACCCAGGGCCTCAGGCTGAGCCATTCTGCCAACCCTCTGTTTCCATGGGGTAGGACTCCATGCATGAGTTAGATGTGCCGTGATTCTAGATCTCTTAAGGCTTCCACTTGAAAATGTCCATGTCCTTACTCACTGATGTATCTGCTGGTGGAGTTTAGCCAATGGCTAGAGACCTCTTTGGATTCCTTGTCACACCAAACTTCCCACAGAGCAACTGAAGATCCCTGTCAAGCTGAGCATGTAAGAATGAGAGAGCGAGAGAATGCCCATGGGATGAAAGGCACAGGTTCTTAAAACCTCATTTGGAATGTCTCCATGTTACTTTTACCATCGTTTATTTGCCAGGAACATGTTGCAAAGCCTGGTTCAAATGTAAGGCAAGTGGATCACACAAGGCAGGAGTACCAGGAGACAGATGTCACCAAGGACCATAGGACCTGTCACCAAGGCGAGGTAGATCTTATACTTACTGCCTAAGGCACCATGGCATTGACTGAGGTCTGTATTTTTCACATATGTTGAAAACTATGTCTCTGAGTAGTGTTTAAGCACAGATTGGATGTCTCGCCTCTTCACCCTTTTTGTTTGACTTTCTTCCTTTACAGACTCTGCTCGACATCTGTAGAGTCTGGCTGTGCTGAGTGTGTTGGAAAGCTGTAGTCTTGGCTTCACCTAGGAACTTGTGGAAAATCAGACTCTTAGGATTCTTCAGGCCTCACCCCTGATGTCCCAGTTTGCTGTGATAAATACTGACCAAAATGAACCTGGGGGAGGAGAGTCTACTTGGCTGATATTAAAGTTGTTCCACACCAAAGATGCTAAGAATCTGGTAGTTGCTTGGTCCTTGAAGTGGGTGCCTCGGCAGCCCCACAGTGGTCATTTCACACCAGAGAGGTCAACAGCCTTGTAGTTGCTCAGTCCACAATGCTGGGTACCTCAACACTCCCAATTTGGGACTGAAAACCTGGAAAGTTCCTAGAGAGCTGCTGGTCAAGGATGGAAGCCTGGAAGTGCTGGTTATGATGTCAATGAAGGAATCATTCTCAGAAGCAACTAGGCATCAGGAGGGAAGGCCAAAAGAGCAAGAGGGTAAAAGGTCCTTCCACTATATCCTTTGCAAAATCTGGGCTGTGCCAGGTGTGGTGGCCCACGCCTTTAATCCCAGCACTCAGGAGGCAGAGGCAGGAGGATCTCTGAGTTCAAGGTCAGCCTGTCTACAAATCGAGTTCCAGGATAGCCAGGGAAACACAGAGAAACCTTGTTGTGAGAAAAAAAATCTGAGCTGCTACCAGAGGTGCTGCTCATATGTGGGTTGGTCTCCTGTTTAGGCGATCAGGACAATTCTTCAGATGGGGATCTCTATCCAAGTGGTTCTAGTTTGTGGCAAGTTGACATAAGGACCAGCCATCACACTGGACCTGTGCAGTGTGGGAGGTTCATGAACATGGTCTATGTTGTATAAGGAGCAACAAAGTAAAAGTAATAATGAGATCCTCCTTAATAATCTTAGACAGAGCACAAGCCATTGGCATGGCTTATCCCACACAGCAGGCAATTAAACCTGAAGGTGTATGGCTCTAGAGTAAAGCTGTGGGAAAGTGGGCTTTTCTAAATGATATTTTGTTTAGGCAACATAAACGACTCTAAAGCATTACACCATATGAAAGAAGTCGGGCACTGAAAACAATATGTTACAGGAGGATGGTGATAGGAAACACTGGACAAGCAAAACTATATTGCCTTCAGTTGTTGGTCTTAAATGATGAGAGATGTGGGAGAGATGGCTCAGCAGTTAAGAGCTCTTCCAGAGGACTTGAGTTCTTTTCCCAGAACCTACATGGTACCTTATAATCATCTGTAACTCCAGTTACAGGGGATCTAATGCTCATTCACTGGCATTGTATGCACATGATGCACAGACACACATGTAGTTAAAATACCCATACACATACACATAAAAATAAATAAATCTTTAAAAAGAAAGAGAGATATGGAAGGGGATTAACTGCAAAGAGACATGAGAGACCCTTCCAGAATGATGAAATTGTTCTTTATCCTGACCATGGTAGTGAATACATGAGCATATAGATTTATTAACACTCATCAAATTATACATTTAAAAATTAGTGAATTTCACATAGATAAATCTTCAAAATGATAAAAAAAGTTAATGAGAGTAACATTTAAAATTGATTGCAGCATCTCTATTTAATCTATGTTAGGCCTAGAACCATGAGCTAATTTACATTGATTAGAATAGTTCCTCTGAAAAGTTTGATGATATTTCAAGGATTTTTTTTATTATCTGATATTGAATGGAAGTTATTTTTGCTTTGAAGCCTTATTGGGAAGACATCAATTAGCATACTGGCACCGTCAAGGTTCTCATCTGTCAAGAGCTCCTGGAGTCACATGCCAAGGAGGAAGCCATCAAATACTGTGCTTTCTGCCATTCTTCAATTTTTCTTGAAAGAAACAATGAATCAACAGAAACAATAAATAAACAACATTTACTGAGTGATAATTTAATGCTTCACATTTGTTCTTTCATTTAATTGGTCCAGCAAATCTGTGAAGTCGGGACTGCTGTCTCTGTGCCTTACTGTCGTGTATGTGGGAGAAAACTTATTCAAGTGAAGATTGGCACTTGGTTTTGGACAGTCTAACGCCTGTGCTCACTCTCTTTACTGTCCCATCTATTCTAAACTGCCACTGCCTCCCTTCTTCAGACTCAAAAATGACTGTTCATAAATTGCTGGATCGACATGGATCTCTTCTAGGACCTTATGAGTCTCAGAATCTTTTAAATTTCTGGAGATTTACTACTTCCTGAAAGCCCATCTACTTCCCGAAAGCCCACGAATGTTTCCACTCACATTGAGCAATTAATGCCTGAGGAAGGAGCTGCTTTAAAAATGAGAGACTGTTTTCTCTAGTTTCTAGAACTGAAACTGGAGATTGAGCAGAGCCGGGTGGGGGTGGACGGTGAAGGACTTGGCACTTGTGTGGCTATGAGACTTCCTCAGGGGAAGCCCTTAGTAGCCACAGGACTGGTGGCTTTATAGAACAAGTGTTTGGTGATGATGCAAAGGAAAGGTATAGTGTGTGCTTGTGTGAGTGCATGTGAGAGTGTGCGTGTATGCGTGTGTGCGTGCGTACGTGTGTGTGTGTGTGTGTGTGTGTGTGTGTGTGTGTGTGTGTGTGTGTGTACTGAGAATTAGTGTAGACTTGGCCACCAAACACATCTGATTGCAGAAAGCACTGTTCAGCTGTAAACCGGGCAAAGGCTGGAAATGGTGGATGGTTTTCTGCCAGACAATAGGAACCTATTTTAATTTTAAAATATGACCAGAAGATTCTGGGTTTGATTGTTAGGATACTTCCTCTGCTGAGAGGAACATGGAAGCGCTGCTTTGTACCACAAAGGGACCTTGCATTCCTTGGTAAGCTACTGTCCCCCAGGACATCTGCCAAGTGCCTGACTCAGAACCACACTGAAGGAGTAATTCAAAGCAGCAGGCAGGGAGATTTACTCACTTGTGTTAGTGAGCAAATGCTTAGAAAAGAATCTGACATTCTTAAAAAGTGAAAATGATCTCTGCATCCAGATCCCTCAGTAGTTGGATGAGGTTTCTAGCACAACAATTAGGGTGTTTGGCCATCCCATCACCAGAGTAGGTCAGTTCGGGCTGTCTCTCGACCACTGCCAGCAGTCTGTTGTGTGGGTATCTTTGTGGATTTCTGTGGGCCTCTCTAGCACTTTGCTTCTTCCTATTCTCATGTGGTCTTCATTTACCATGGTCTCCTATTCCTTGTTCTCCCTCTCTGTTGTTGATCCAGCTGGGATCTCCCGCTCCCCCAAGCTCTCTTTCCCTCAACCCTCGCCTTTCATTACCGCCACTCATGTCCAGGCTGTTCATGTAGATCTCATTCCATTTCTCTGTCATTGGGTGATCCCTGTGTCTTTCTTGGGGTCCTGTTTTCCAGGTAGCCTCCCTGGTGATGTGAGTAGCAGACAAGTCATCCTTGTTTCATGTCTAGTATCTTGCTATGAGTGAGTACATACCATGTTTGTCTTTCTGAGTCTGGGTTACCTCACTCAGGATGATTTTTTCTAGATCCATCCATTTGTCTGTAAACCTCATGATGCCATTGTTTTTTTCTGCTGAGTAGTATTTCATTGTGTATATGTACCACATTTTGTTTATCCATTCTTCAGTTGAAGGGCATCTGGGTTGTTTCCATGTTCTGGCTATTACAAACAATGCTGATATGAACATAGCTGAACAAGTGCTCTTATGGTGTGGTTGAGCATTTCTTGGGTATATGCCCAAGAGTGGTATAGCTAGATCTTGGGGGAGATTGATTCCCAATTTTCTAAGAAAGCGCCATATTGATTTCCAAAGTGGTTGTACAAGCTTGCATTCCCACCAGCAGTGGAGGAGAGTTCCCCTAGCTCCACATCCTCTCCAGCATAAGTTGTCTTCAGTGTTTTTGATCTTAGCCATTCTGACAGGCGTAAGGTGGTATCTCAGAGTTGTTTTGATTTGCATTTCCCTGATGATTAGGGATGTTGAGCAGTTCCTTAAATGTCTTTCGGCCATTTGAGTTTCCTCTGTTGAGAATTCTCTGTTTAGCTCTATAGCCCATTTCTTAATTGGACTGTTGGGCATTTAGGCCCCGGGTGGATCTCTGGGAGTCCAATTAGCGAGAATGAGGAGGGTTTATTTGAGCGAGAATTGTTGAGACCAAGGTTGGATAAAGCACAGGGACAAATAGCCAAATGAATGGAAACACATGAACTATGAACCAATGGCTGAGGGGTCCCCACTGGATCAGGCCCTCTGAATGGATGAGACAGTTGATTGGCTTGATCTGTTTGGGAGGCATCCAGGCAGTGGGACCAGATCTTGTGCTCATTGCATGAGTTGGCTGTTTGAAACCTGGGGCCTATGCAGGATTGTTTGGCTCGGCCTGGGAGGAGGGGACTAGACCTACCTGGACTGAGTCTACCAGGTTGACCTCAGTCTGTGGGGAAGGCTTTGCCCTGGAGGAGATGGGAATGGGGGGGGGGTTGGGGGGAAGGTGAGGGGGACGGGAGGCGGGAGAACAAGGGAATCCGTGGCTGATATGTAGAACTGAATTGTATTGCAAAATAAATTAATAAAAAAAAAAAGAAATAAAAAAAAAAAAAAGTGAAAATGAGGCTGTTTGCACCTCCTAGGGGGACTTCAGATATGAGCTCAGCGTGACCAGGAGCAGCCCAGGTTTGCAGAGCTGAGGGGCTGCAGCAGGCAGGACATTATTGACTGAGATGGCAGCCACTGGCGGGTCCACCTTCTCTAGCGCACTGCTGTTGTTGGAGACAAACCAAAGCTAGTCTCAGTGGTAAGAGGTCACCACCAGATAGGGCTGGATAAGGAAGGAAACCTGAACGTGGCCATTTTCATGCCCCAAATTTCCAGTAATAGCTGTGATGCCAC